CCCAGAATAAGTAGCAGCCGCATCATCAGTGCCCTTGAGCCTAGTGTCGCTGCTTTCCAGTGGCATCGTTTGTTAACGACGCCTTTCAAAGGAAAAGAAAAGCCATTACTTACAATGTGCACGAAAATTTCTAGTGAATGATGGAACTCTCACCCTCCTCCCGCCCCTGCGGTCCTCGCCTGCTCCTCACAGCACTAGGCCTGCACCAGGCTCACACGCTGCTGAGCCCGCTACGTCCCTGCCTTTAGAAGAGCATGATGTGGGACCAGTAGTTAGTGTAATGGCTATGTTGCTAGATTCCCATGCAGTCGACCGTGGTTCGAGTCCAGACCCAGTGGCCTACACTCATGCGGCAGCGTGTGCGTGCGTGCCCAAGGTCCTGAGAGAAGGGGCTGCGGTGTGGCCATCCCCACTGGGGGGTGATTTCTCTGTCTCTCTGTCTCTCTGTCTCTCTCTGTCTTTCTGGCAAGCGCACATGCCCTATAGCAAAAACCTGTCCGAAAAAAAGAAGGAAGAGCATGACGTCAGAGACTTACCTGAGAATGACTGGTTTGTCTGAATTTTCTACATGTCTACATTGAACCTTGAAAAAAAGTCTCCAGTTGAATTACACAGAATTGTAAGTTTAAATTCCTTCTTTTGAACAGGTTAGTTGTTCATGGCCTGAATGATACTCCTTCCAGAAACATGGATCAGTCATGGTTCTGAAAGTTTGTAATCTATATTTAAGAGTTTTTTGAGACAGCCAGTGGTATGGCGCTTAAGGCAAATGGGTTCCACCTGGCCAGCTGCATGGCTCAAATCCTGGACCCAGGTTGAAAACACACCAGGGAGGGAACCAGGAGTTAGTGTAATGGCTATGTCGCTGGACTCCCACGTAGTCGACCACGATTCGCATCCCGGCCCCGGTGGCTTAAAACTCACGCCGGGCGCGTGTGTGTGCGTGCCCAAGATCCCGAGAGGAGAATGGAGGAGAAGGGATTGCAGCGTGACCATCCCTCCTGGGGGGTGATTTCTCACTTTCTGTCTCTATGTCTCTCTGTCTGTCTGCCGAGCACACGTGCCCTATAGTGAAAAACCTCTCAAAAAAAAAAAAACCAGGGACATGTGCATGCACACCCCAATCCTTGAAGAATGGAGAAAGGGCTGTGGCATCAGTCCCCATGGAGAATGCTCTCGTCACCCCCCACACACACACAGGCACACATGCCTCTGGCAAATTTAAAACAAGAACAATGAGTCAATGAGTTTTAGCCATTTCTACTGATTCGAGCTACATTTCCTACAGTGCAACATTTATATACGGAGTATCTGTGCTTCAGTGGTATGTACAGTGATTCATTTTATCCGCGCAATATTCAAAAGACAAAAAGACCAACTATACACATATGTGTGTGTGTGTGTGTGTGTGTGTTGGTTCTTTTAAGACAGATTTTAAAGTTACGTTTTTCAAACTAAAGTTTACCATCCATCACAAGTCAGGAAATAACTTAGTGGTTTGTGTCTAATATTTTAAAAACTAGCAATAAAGCAGAGCAGGACATGCCAGCATGCACCACACACCTTTGTAAAGACAGGTGCCATCCTGTTAGCTTTTTGCTGACACGTACATAAGAGTCTGTGCACTGAGTTATAAAGTACAGCGGATTTCTTACTGTGGTCAAGGTCCTAAAAGTCACAGGCGGGCAGACTTCGATCTGCCAGTGAAGTAGCCAGAAGCCAGCAACATTCCCTGTTCTGAGAACCCTGGAGTAACCTGTTCAGACTGCAGGCAGCTGCTGCTCAGACTTTCTGCAGCGGAAATTAGAGAAGTTGAACAAATCTACGTAACTTGAATACCTAGACAAAATCAATTACATGATTTCGATGATTGATGCTACATTTTGGGTTGCAAGAAAATGATCTACCAATGACTCCATAACAAAAAGTAAAACATCATTTCTCCTCAATTCAACACTTCACCAGAATAATTACTGCCCTGTATAAAACACAAATGGAAGAAGCCTATAAGTACCCTTAAGTTTTAGCTATGATGATATTTAAGACTGAAAAAAGCAAGACACATTAAGTGCTTATAAACCAAATGTGAAATGATTTTTTGTGAAGTTTTTAATTTCTACATTTCAAGTCATACTGAAAGTATCACATAGAAATAAACAAGACTAACAATTTGTAAAACAAACTGTAAACAAAAATAATTTGCCAGTGTGTCCAAACATTATTTTTAAAGTAATAGACCAGTTTTTTAAATTGCAAAAGTCAATATTTTCATTTAGATTCACATTTTTTAAAAAATCCTTTAATAACTCTGCCTTTAAGGGTTAAATTCCATGCTAACGACAAGCCATGCCCAGGGACTTGTCGGGCACCTGTGGAGGACAGGCACCTGTGCTACTGCAGATGGCCGTCACCGGAGCCACAGCACAGCAGGAGCGGACGCCCCACCTCGGGCGCTTCTGAAAGAGGCAACGCTGAGGCGGGCCTGTCCACTGGCACTCGCCCGTCCCTCTGCCACACGACGGGAGGTGCTCCTGCAGCACGTGTGGTTCCCACACTTATTGTTACACAGAATGTACATACATTTATGTACATGTTAGATCTAAGAAATATCTTGAGAAGTCAGTAAAAATCAATACAAATGGTATAATCTTATACTCTATGAAATTTACAATTATAAAAAAATTTATTCAAACACTGCAGAACCAACCAGTGATAAGAATCTGCCAACTCTCAAGAAACTGTGGCGACAGTGCCTGGTGGTATACCAAAACAGATGCAGCAGGTGGTGGGTGGTTAAGGCGATGGACTTCCACATGGCCAACTGTGGTTCAAGTTCCGGACCTGGAGGCTTGAAAATCACGACAGGCACATGCGTGAGCGTGCGTGCCCAAAATTCCGGTAGGAGAATGGAGGAGAAGGGACTGTGGCGTGGCCATCCCCCAGGGGGGTGATTTCTCCCTCTCCTGCAAGAACAGGTGCCCTACAGCAACAAAACAAAACAACAACAGAATAAAAACAGATACACAACAGGTGACCAAGAATCACAGGACTGCTTAATCTAACAGTCCAGGGTCTGCCTTCTCTTCCACCAGCGCATACAAACTGCAAGGAAAAGAAGACTGTGAGGGGTCACTGACCTTACCAGAGCTCAGCGCCGGGCCTCAGTGTTCTCACCCACTTCTGCAATCTGTCATACAGAGCAGCCACTGGCACAGGTCCAGCCACAGCCCTGCCTCTGCGGCAAACCTCTCCCTCAGGAGGATGACAGCAGTCTGTGTGACAGAAGAGAATCTCCAGAGGCTGGGTCTATAGCAACCTGTTCTTATTATAAAATGTACCTAGGTTCCGGCTTCAAACACTTCCTCCCCAAATGCCCCTCCCTGTTTCAACAGCAATGAAGATGTACCTAGGAGGTATCTGAAACTTGCCACTCACCTACCGAGCTTACCAAATTCAAGCCTGGCCCAAGTTGTCAGATGAAAGGAAGCTTTCAAAGAACAGAAAGTTGCAACTGACGGTGAAACGTTTAATATCTCACTAAAGAGTTTTCCGTCTTACGTATGCCCAGGACGCCTTCCTCGTATGTGCCCTGGTGCTGACGCAAGCTAGAAAGTGCTCCTAGTAACTTGAGTCGTGCTGTTCACCCCTTGCCTTGGTCTGCTCCAAGCACAGATTCTGAGCTGCAGTAAAAACTGAAAGCTGTCGTCAATGCGCAGGTAGGAAGGACGAACACTGACCCCACTGATTTCTCGGCATGTGGCTCTTGCTTAAGACCTGGCCGACGCTCCCTGGTGGTGAAGACTGTTGCTTAGCATCACACAGGGAGGGCCTTCTCGCTTACGACTCAGCTGCCCTTTAAGAGGAGATGCTCCAGAGACGTAGAGATAAAAATAAAGGAGAAGCTGATAAACATACGGGTTACATTTTCTTATTGTTTGGGTTCCAAGTAGAAATTTCTGATGTCAAATAAATATGACCTACTTTTCACAAATTTCTCCGCCTAAAAATCCGAAAACTTTAAATCCAACAATTTGAGGAAAATGTTTTTTCCCATTTGTCTGAACATACACAGTGTACTGCCATACACATAGCACATGTGAGCATGCGCTCACAGACCCTGACTGCGGACTGGCTGTCACGTGTTTTCCTCGTGTGCCATCGCTGATGCTCTTGCCTACTGGACGGTCGCTCAGAGTAGACGTTCAGAGTTTTTGCTCAGTGGACTTAAAGTTAAGCCACCCAGCAATGACTTATGATTTAAAAACTGGATGATTATCTGATCCTGTCACACTGCAAAACTATTCCGACACCATGAATGAGACACTGCAGGTGCTGGGTGTCAAAGCTGGGTCTCAAACTTTGTAAGGAGGAGGTTTAAACTGGTGTATGTGAGAGTAACCAAAGCCTGAAGGAGGGGTTTCTATCACTCAGCATTTATATTTTCACTAGCATCATAGAAGCACAGGGAATTAAGAGATCTTTGCGGGGGATAAAAGCTTAAGAAAACTGTGTGCAGATAGTCTATACGGCAAAATCTAAGTTCCAAGTGTGCTCAACACTGGCCACGATGCCGAGGCAATACTGAGCTCGGTCCACACAGCTGTTGTGGACCTAAGATCACATGACACTACCACAGCTAATGACACGGACAGCAGGGGGTACTCCACGGCTTCCTACCAAGGCTCAGGTTTTGAACGAATTTAATACTTTTCCCCTGGCTTAAAGTCTAATCACTATCATCTGGTAACATAAATTACAAACTCTGCTTTTGTTTTTGTCTTTTTTTTAAGAAAATAAAAATGTAATTTGAAAACATTACAGTTCCAGTGTACCCGCTGCAACAGCGACGCGCACAAGTTTCTAGAACCTTCGCCTACTGCCAAAGATGCCACTTCAAATAGGCATTTCTTAATAAGTTTCTAATAGGACTTAACTGATTCTCATCTTTAGAGAGTTCCAAAGTTTGCCTTTTCTAACATTTCTACGCCAGCTGAAAAGCATTTCCCATGCGGATGACTGTATTTACTGATGTCTACAGAAGACGCTGCTCTACACGTCTCTAAGGAGTCTCGTGTAGCTGGAAGCTACAGCACCTATCAGAAAGTTAAATTAAAAAGAAGATCAGCACTAGCCAAGTCTTAGCAGATCATGAAAAGTGACACGCCGGTTCCAGGCCCAGACCATGAGCTGGGCAGTCTGAAGACGCATCTGTGCAGCGGGAATGTCGTGAGTCTGGAGCTCCCGGGCCCTTGGCCACAGCACGAGGCAGCTGCGCATCTACAGCGCTTTCTGGTGCCCATTTGCAGAAGGCTTGGGTGTCTCCGCATCCCTCGGAGTATTTGCTAAGTGAAGTTTATGAAGTCCTGCATAAAAATAAGAAAATGGTGAGAAATGTACTGTTAAGTGGCTGGGCAAAGGACTGGGGTGGAGGGCCAGATATACTAAGTACTTCTGCTGCCACGCTCTGGCCAGACTCCTTAGGAACGAAACATTGCCCCTCCCCACCAGCTGCTCCTGGCATCGGCCTCAGAGGTAGAAGTCTCACCCTTCCAGGATGGCCTGCGTGCAAAGGCTGGCAGCGGGTGTGTGAGCATGAAGGGCGGTCCCTGCAAGAGCTGCATGGCGCTCGGAAGGGCCATCCCCGCCCACAACACAGCACAGCGCCCGCTCAGGCTCTGGTACGACGGCGCCCGAGCGCCACGCCACCCACTGCAGCCCCTTTCTGGCCTCCCGTCCCCTGCAGATTCGCTCCCATCTGGATATGTGCTCCCAGAGAGCTGAATCTGAGACAGCTTCTCATTTTTGTTTTAAAATATACAGGAAAATACTGGGAAAGACACAACAAAATATTAACATGTAACTTAAAAGCAATGGGAAAAATTATCAAGAAGAGAAAGGAATGGCAGAAGAACAAACTGAACAGGAATATTATACTACTCGAAGGTACTCCACAGAGTAAAGCATGCTCGCTCTTTCTTAATTTGCCAGAGGATGCATGCATTCACTGGAGAGAGACGGGGGAGAGGAAAGCTGGAAAGCACACCGCACAGGACAGGGTCACGCTGCAATCCCTTCTCCACCTCCCCCTCCTCTCAGCGTTCTGAGAACACGTGTTTCAAGCCACTGGGTCTGGGACTCGGTGGTGCCGTCAGCCACGTGGGATTCAGCTCCTTTAGCCGTCAGGCACCAGGCTGGCCCGGTTCTTTTCTTTTTCAGGTAGTTTCCCTCTGAACCATAGAGTAATGATTTACGCAATACACTTCACACACAGAACAATTCTTTGCCCTACAGGAAGAAGAGCTTATGTGGGACCAAGGCCTCCTCACGCGCTCTAATAAAAGGACGCACGACAACACACAAGAGTATGTGGGCGGGACATTCCGGAAGGCTCTGAGGAAGTCGGGAGCATGAAGCTCAGATCTTTCCAATACCTCTGGAACAGATGGAGATCCACCTGTTGGGTAGTTTCATATCACACTTAAACCAACACAGCACTCGACCTTTACAGCTCTCTCACTCGCATATCTCCATGTAAGGAAAGGGCAGTTGAACCTCTCCACAAATGGGAAGAAAGAAAATCAATACAACACAAAAAATGGTCCCAGGAGCCACTGCTGTCAGAGGTGGGGCAATGTGACAAAACCAGGCTTGTGAGAAGAGCAGCTGAGCCCACTAAGAGGTCAGTATGGCAGCCCTGCCTACGCTGAAGCAGAAGCCCCTCCTAGGAGAGAGCACCTGAGTTAGCTCCCTTACAAACGGGGGCGTGGCACTGGTTATATAGTCCGAGAAGTACAGGGTCTCCTCCAGAGCAGGCTCTACAAAGTCACGTGCCTCACGACCCCTCCAGCTACGTTCTGAGTATGTCCTATGTTCTAGACCTTCTCTGAGGTAGGTACTACTATTATCAATGGACAGAGCAGCAGAGGGCAGAAAGCCTACCTCCCCCGGTAAAAAAGGAGAAAGGAGAGAGTTAACTTCTACAATCAAATGCTTACTCCGTGAAATCACACTTAAGCTCTCAAATCATTTAAACATCACACACAGTTAAGGAGGGTCTTGTTTTGTTCTGTTTTACATGTAACTTGCCCCTTATAGTACCCGCAAAGAGTAACTGGGAAACACTTGGAAAAGTTAATCTAGCCATTAGAGAATGTTGTACACCTCATAAAAATTCCACTCTCTCTCTCTCTTTCTTGGTTCAAATTTTTTATTGTATTTCTTTTCACAATGCATATTTTTAAATTCTACCTTTATTCACTATATCATCACAGCATACACAATTAATTTCTCCATCTAGAATACACTGAGTACTGGCCCAATGGAAGACACTACCATACTTATTACCTTAACGGACAATTTTCCATTTTGTGTTTAACTGTCTTTTTCCCCTCGACTGCCTCCCTCTGGCGCTCTGCCATCTCCCACCCTCCTCCACACTGTCTCTGCCTGTATATTACCCAGTCTCTCCACTTTGCACTGAGTGCCGGTGCCCGGTGTGAATTAAGTGGGTATACATCACCTCTCTTCCACATTTCACTTTAGAATAAGTCTTCCGTATTTGCCCACTTCCCATAAAATGCTAGGGTCTCACTGTTTATGGCTGAGTAGCATTCTGTAGGGTGTATGTGCCACACCTGTGCAATCCATTCATCTTTCTGTGGACATCTGGGTTGGCTCCATGTGAATAATGCTGCAATAAACAAGGATGTGCAGGCACTTTTCCAGCTCAGCATCCTCCTGTCCTTCGGGCAGATATCCAGGAGTGGACTGCTGGACAATATGGTAGTTGTACTGTAGGTCTCTAAGGAGCCCCCACATTGTCCTCCACAGGGGCTGGACCAGTTCACACTCCCACCAGCAGTGCAGGAAAGTACTTTCTCTGTTTTAAAACTGCACATGACAATGTACTCACCAGAGACAGGGGCAAGAGGGAGAAAGCACCCCTGTGGGTTGTGGTCACATCATAATCTCTTCTTTCCTACTCCTCTAACCTACTGCAACTTAAGACACACACATGCCCAGAGTGTTTTTCAGGCTCCCAGCACCAGGATCTGAACCACAGTTGGCCATATGGAATCTGGCTTTCTCTTTTTTGAGAGAGATTTTTGCTATAGGGTACGTGCACTCACCGAAGAGACAGAGAGACAGAAAGTGAGAAGTTACCCCTCAGAAGGGATGGCCATCCCTTCTCCTCCATTCTCCTCTCGGGATCCCAGGCATGCATGCACACATGCCTGGCTTGAGTTTTAAGCCAAGACTTGAACCATGGTTGACTATGTAGGAGTCCAGAAACCTAACTGCTATACCATCTGCTGGGCCTGGAATCTGGCTCTCTTAACCACTAGGCTATGAGACTGTAGCCTAGTCTCTTATGGTCAAAAGTGACACAACGTGGGAAAACTTTACTTAAGTTTAAGTTACATTTCATGACTTTAATAGCAGCTTCCTTAGCAAAATGATACCCAGAATACCTAACTCTAATGCTAATCTACTACAATTCACCTGTAAATATCTCATTTAATAAACAGTGTGTGAGGGAACCAGCAGTTAGCATAATGGCTATGTCGCTGGACTCCCACGTAGTCGACCGCAGTTCACATCCCGGACCCGGTGGCTTAAAACTCACGCCAGGCGCATGTGCGTGCGTGCCCAAGATCCCGAGAGGAGAATGGAGGAGAAGGGATTGCGGCGTGACCAATTTCTCACTTTCACTCTCTCTGTCTCTATGTCTCTGTCTGTCTGGCGAGTGCATGCGCCCTATAGCGAAAACCTCTCCAAAAAAAAAAAAAAAAAAAACAGTGTGTGAGTGAACTAGGCCATCTCAGTGCCCCTCCATGACCCCACCCACTTTCTGAGGAGGAGAGTCCTGAGTACCTAAGGAGTATCGCCGAACAGGAGTGTCCTGAGTACCTTGGGACTAGGCCTGAGCAGGAGTACCATGAGTACCTGAGGACTAGGCCCAAGCAGGA